GGAGCAGGAAGATCGCACTTGAGCTGTCTAAGCGCAAGCATGTACATCGGAGAGCAACGGCAACAGTAGCGTGTTCAAGGAACCGCGCTCCCAAGGACAGACCCAAACGCACCCCCTGCACGGGTGTAGCGTATCCTCGATTCGGTGATCCACCCCCCCTTCCCAGGTTCTGATGCGAGCACTGCGCAAGGAGGGCAGCACACGAGGCACCACCGAGACGACAACCGACCATCGGGGATCCTCTGACCCGGGTCAATCCAGACCCGGGTCAGCAGGAAACCAAAAACTGCAATGCAGGAAAAAAAAAATGCAACGCAGGTCCTCGCAAACCCGGGTCAGCCAATACGCGCGGCCGCCTCGCGGCCACGAGCGGCTCCCTGACCCGGGTCAGCCAGTGGGGGCCTTCGCAGCCTGCAGGATCCGGCGCCCTGGCTGACCCCCGTTTGCACTGACCCCCGTCTCGAGGCTCCCGAGACCAGTCAACCCACGCCGCGCCGGCCTCGGGGGCCCAGAAAACCAGCGGCAGAGGCGGGCAGCAAGACGGCCAACTGCACGCGGGGCGGGGAGCCGAGGGCCGATCGGCAGAGGGAGGAGTAGCCGGCGGTGGGCAAGCCTCCCTTCAGCCAACCTCCATGAAGGGGCCCTGGGACATACAAGTAAATACACACAAATGACAGGATTCCCACATTTTTCCCATATTTTCTAGGTTTTTGTCTTCCCCCGCACTTCCCATATTTTCCAATGTTTTCTGGGGAATCGACGATCAATTGTGTCTGTGTGTTTCTTTCCCTCCTGACTCCATTCAGCGAAAACGGCCTAGGACCGAAGCCGACGGACCTGGACCCGCAAAAATGACGGCCGCGGCGCCCTCTCGCGAACCGAAAACGGCCAACTCGCTGATCGCCGTGTCAGGGCAGGAGGCTTATCAACCTCCGAAGTCCCGGCCGGACGAAAGGGGTGGATAGCAAAGGGGGGGTTTGAGAATCAGCTCACGCAGCTGATTTTCCTGGCGCCTCCCGGAGCCGGAGGCGGCTATGTATCGAGGACTGGGCCCCTCGGTGGGGCCGAAATCAGCTGCATGCAGCAGATTTCGTAACCCCCCCTTTCCCGATCCCCCCCTTTCGTCCGGCGCGAGAAGTAGGAGGATGGCTTGCCGCCGAACGTGCTCCGGAGACGCTCCGCCGGAGCACGCGGGCGAGCGTGCTCCGGGAACGCTCGGGCGTCCACTAGTGGGGGGCAAGAGATGGGGTTGGCAGGAAAGGTGCACCTCTTCGTGCACCTTTCGTACCCCTTCGGGGCCCCAGGGGGCTCGTTTGGGGCCCCTTTCGGGCCCCGTTCGTTTTTTTTTTTTTTTTTTTTTTTTTTGTTTTTTTCCCTTTCGGGCCCCGTTCGTGCCACCATCGACGCCCCCTCGCTTCTCGCGCCCCCTCCTTGCCGAGCGCCCGAAACGCTCCGCCGGAGCGCGCTGGCCCGCGGGCTCCGCGTCGCAGCGCTTCTTCGTTTTCGTTTTGTCTGCGTTGTTTGGACGCCCGAGTTATCCGGGGTAACTCGGGTCCGGGGTAACTCGGGTTTGGGTTCCCGAAAAAGGAACCCGAGTTAGCCCTGACCCGAGTTACCCCTGATGATTCGGGGCTCTGGACGCCCGAGTTATCCGGGGTAACTCGGGTCCGGGGTAACTCGGGTTTGGATTCCCGAAAATCGAACCCGAGTTATCCCTGACCCGAGTTACCCCTGATGATTCGGGGCTCTGAGCTTTCGTCTCCAAGCCGCCTCTGCAGCAAAACGAAGCCGAAGCGAAAACGGCCCACGGAATCACCGAGAACACCGTCTATAGGCCCAGCCCTGGCACGCAGGGCATCCCGCGAGGGATCAGGGCAAGGGAGTTCACCGCGAGCCGCTCGGCGCAGGGCGGGCGCCTCCGCGGCCCGGCATGGCAGCGTGGTCGCCGCCGCCCGTATCAGGGCGGCCGCGCAGAGCAGGGGCAGGGGGTCCGACGGGACGATGGGGCCGCCGATGCTCGGGAGTTCGTGCCAGTCGCCATCGCCGAGGAAGCTGACAGGGAGGCAGAACGGGCGCGGCAAGAGGCCTGCTCTTCTGAAGGCCGCTCGGGGCGTCGAGGCGCTGCGTCTTATACGAGAGCACCGAGGGGCATCTCTCACGAGACAGCCAGGCCGACGAGTGGGTGTCAGACCTGCTCCTGGCAACCTCTCCAACCCGATCACAATACTTCGTCAGAGGAGCTCGCCATTGTTCCTCCGTCTCTAACTCCAGGGCCCATGAGCAGGCCTGAGTAATTACTCGAAAGGATCGGCGATGCAGAAGGCAACCCACTCGGGGCCGATCGAGGCGACGATCTGGCGCGCCTGGTCGATGAGCTCGTCCGTGAGCGGGCCCAGGAGGGGAATGGCGAAGCACTTGGACGGCTTGATGCGCAGTCCTGCTAGGAGACGCGCCATCTTGAAGACGCGGGCGACCACCTCGAGTGCGCGACGACGAAGCAGGGAGGCCCCAAGCTCGTCCGCGCACCAGCGCGGACGGGCAGGAGAAGGAGGAGGAGGATGAGGAGGATGAGGAGGAGGAGGAGGGATGATGAGGAGGACGAGGAGCCTATGTCGCACGAATCTGGCATCGAACACTTGCGTTCTCTGAGCACCACCTGTGCTGCGCAAGCCTCCACGGTTGGGCATCGTGGCCGTCGGCGCCAGAAGCATCATCGGCGATGTCGGCGCCACGGCTGTCCTCCCGGGGCGCCCGAACAAGCTTCCTGCGATTCAAAGTCTTGGGCCTGCGCCTCCTCAGCACATCTCCACGGTTCGAAGATCCCTTTCAGGCCCCCAAGACGGCTTCCGACGGCGTCAGACGGGCCACGAACGCCCTACGACAGCCAAGAGGCCATCCCGAAGGCAAAAATCCGTGACGCCCCTTACATTTCTCAAGGATGTTAGCGGTTTCGCCTTTTCGGGCTTCCGACGCTCCAAGACTGCAAGACCGGCCCTTAGGCCCCGAGATCGCCCCAAGACGGAACAAGAGGCCCCAAGAGGCCCGCTATACTATCCAAGAAAGCCCCAATATGGCCCAAGAGGCCCTGAAGACGACGGCCCCAGAACCCCCCAAGACGGCCCTAAAGTGCCCAAAGAGGGACCTGTGACCGCCCAGAGAGAATCACAAGACGGCATCCAAAGGCCAAGAGGTCGAATAAAGGCCCTAAGAGGCCCCAGGAAGCCTATGAGAGGCCCCCTAAAGCCCCCCGAAAGGTTTGCAGGAAGCACCCAGGAGGCCCAAAGAGGGCCTCGAAATGCCTAATTGTCGTCGTCGTCCACCACTTCCTCCTCCTCCATCCCCTCCATCCCCTCCTCCTCCTCCTCCTCCTCCTCCTCCTCCTCCTCCTCCTCCTCCTCCTCCTCCTCCTCACATTGTTCCCCGAAGGGCTTCTGCAACGGCTGGGACACACACACATATACATTTATATATACATACATACATACATTCTTTCTATCTTTTGAACCGCGATGGACTACAGACAGAGCTCTGAATCACCTCTGGTCTTTCTCTCTTCTTAAACTCCACCTCTAGATCAAATCCGAAACTCACTCAAGTTCCAAGGAATCTCCGAAACAGGGCGCTGGCCCTAGATATCCGAACGCCCCTCCTCGGCCTTCGTCGCCGCGGCTGGGCGGAGGCGGAGGGCGAAAGTCCAAAACGAAACCAGCGCCTCGATCATTTTTCACGAGACGCGCGCCGGCAAACAGCCGGCGTCAATTATCACAGCACACGGTGCCTCACGCTACCGTCGAACTTCATCGTGAAGCAGATCAGCTTCATCAGCCGCTCCATCGTGTCTTGGTCGAGGGCCTTCGTGAACAGGTCCGCTGGGTTCCAGTGCCCCTCGACCGTCTTCAGCAACAGCCTTTTTCTCTGAATACGTTCCTGCAGCCATAGAAATCGAACATCCAAATGTCGAACAGCTACCAGTCCCTGTCGGCTTGAACATGTAAAGCTCCATCTCGTAGTCCACCTCAACTCCAAGGTCGGCCAAAGTGGGCTGTACCCCAAAACCGTGGCAGGCTCCACGCAGTAGTGCATCGTACTCGGCCTCGCCGCTGCTTAAACCCACCGTGGATTGGACCGACCTGCCATGTTGCAGCAGATGCGTTCCCCATAGAATGGCCATTCCACTTCGGGAACGCCTCGTAATCGGATCACCCACATAGTCGCTGTCGCAGTAAACGCAAACCTTTCTAGGCAGCTTCTGAGCGGGAAGCAGCGACCTTCCAGCGAGGTACTTCTTTAAGTAGCGGCCAACGCGCTAAGGATCCTCCATGTGGGTCTCCTTCGGCTCCTTCATGTGTCTAGCCTGCATGCTCGCGCTGTAGCTGATGTCGGGCCGGTCCAGACTCAGGCGCATGATCCGCATGGTCACGCCGCGGTAGGTCTTCCCTTCTCGTCGCCCAGCTTCGGCGAGGTCTGGTTGCTACTCAGGATCTCCGCGACAGACCTCTCAACGGCCAGGGTAGTCACTTCCTTCGCATTCTCCAAGCCCAGGTCCCTGATCACCTTCTTCACGTGCCGGGTGTCCGCTTCGAGGTAGGCTGAACGCTCGAAGGGGTTCCAGATCAACAGCCGGTTGCGATCGTCCGCGCTCTGTTCCTCCAGGGGCCTGCTGCTCAGAATACCCGTGACCTTGAAGTCGTAGCGCGAGAGCACGTCATCGAACCACCCCTCCTGGGACTTGCGCATAATCGCACTAAAGTCGTCGCAGTGAACCTCCGCTTGTATATGACGCTCGGCGTGGTGCAGCAGCGCTGGGTTCGAGACGCCCTTCTTGAAGCCGTGCAAGCTTGTCAGGCCGATGTAGTCGTCTTGCCACACATGACTTGCGTCCACTGTGCCGTGCATCGTCTTGAGTAGCCTGCCCACCATGGGTTCCGGATCGTCGTAGGTCTCCTCCTCGGGCAACTCCATATACACTTCGCGATTTGCATATCCATAGAAGTGCGCCCTCAGATGTCGCAAAACTTGTAAATGATCTCCTCCGCATCGCCGTCGCGGTAGGCGTCGTTCACGCGGCCGACGAAGATGGTCACCATCGCCTTGAACGCTTCCAGCGGTGGCATGGCCGAGAATAGTTCAGCTTGATCTGGTCGGTCTTCGGACCTCATCGCTTTCTTAATCTCCCTCGCGACCAGCCTCGAACGATGCCGTGGTTGAGTTCGGTCGCCCTTGTTCGTGAATATCCATTTCAAGGTCACTGCCTTCTGGCCGTTCTCGAGCATCTCGCGTCTAGGTACCTTCTTCCATACCTGCCTCCCGCGGCACCAATCCAGTTCTTCTTCCCTCGCGGCTCGCACCCCCCTCATCGTCCTGGTACTCAGCGGACACCTCAGTCTCTTCTTCATGTGGGTGTGGTCCTCCACAAAGAGCTGCAAGTAGGTTGAGCCCTTCTCGTCGTCGAAGCTCCTCTCGTAGGCCATTTGAGAATAGCTGCAACCAGGCTCGGAGGGTATCGTTGTGCATGTTTGGCGCGTCCGTCAACCAGGTGAACATGGCGAGCGAGTTCTCCGTTCGGACCCCTGGGGCACCGGCAGTGGCCTTTTGAGGATCTCGGCGAGCAGCTCGCTGTTGGTGAGCCACCCGGTCTCCTTCCGAACGACGCCCAACTTTCCGATGGAGTCGGTCGCCTGCATGTGCCAGCGGCACATAGGTCCATGGACTAAGAATACGCCTGCCAACTGTATGACCTCCTGAACGCTCGGGCGGTGCCAGCTACTCGCTGACCAAGGTGCTTCGTGAAGAAACAGCTTCCCTGCATTGTAGCGCCCCTTGCAAATCTCCGTGCTGAATTTGAGGTGCGTCTCGCCTTCCAGGATCTCCGCCTCCACGATCTTCGGGTCTCGCTTTGAGTCCGAGAGCGTCCGCAAGTTGCTGAATGGCGTGCACGGGGGGCTGGTGGTCGTCAGCAGCGGGTCTTCGTCCTTTAGCTGCTTCTTGCACTCCTTTCGCTGCTCGGGCAATCGCAGATCCCAACCGGTCTCGATATCCACTGCCAGGCCGTGCGCGAGGCCGTGCCTGAACGTCATCTCTGCAAACCTTCTCGGCGAACAAACCTCCGCAGTGTCCACTGCGCACATCTCGGTAAGAAGTGACGCGATCTCCTCCGCCTGCTCTGCGTCGTTCACGTTGGCGTTCGTCCACATCTCGAACATCGCCAGCTCGTAGATCATGATAAACGCGTTGCCTTTGTCGTAGCCGTTGATCCGCTCCAGGAAGTCGACGTCCATCGATCCATCTGGAGCCCGGCTCGGTCTCGACACCGATGCCGATGCTGAACTTGATGACGCTGCCTGGGACATCGCTGTGTCGACCAGGTCCCCCACGTTCACCTGCGCCTCCTCCTGGGGCGCCGCTCGCTTGAGCGCGAGCCGAGCTTCAGCTTCAGCAGTTGCAGGTGCTGAGCTTCCTCTCGCATCGCCTCGTGCCCGGGTAGCTCGTCCAGGGTCGGGTGCGTCTCCTCGGCGCTTCCTGGCAGTGCTCGGTTCGCTTCCACTGCCTCCGGCCGGCACCACCGCCATCTCGGTGTCCCTCGGCTCTGGGGCAGGAGCTCGATCGCCGTCCCCAGAGGGCGGCGGTAGGGCAGCTTGGTCTCCTCCAGCTGCATCTCGACCTCGAACACCTCGACCGCGTGCTGATTGGTCTCCGGCTCGAAAGTGATGTTCGGTAACTCGTACTCGATCTTCATCGTTACCCATCATTAGCTCTGCGATCCTGTCGCGGCACTCGTCGCTGTGGGTTTTCGTGATCTTGCCCTTCTGCGTCAGCTCCAGACATCCAGGACAGCCCGCAGTGGCACCATACTTCTCGATGTCGCGGCGTAGGACGTACCCCGCTCGCGGGGCTCGTGGCTCCATCCGAACGGTAGCCACCGCCGGCGCTCGCCAGAGCGGGCGCCTCCTCCTCCGGGCGAGTCGCCCAAGGAACTCCTCGAAGAGCTGCCCAGTCCTTACTGTCCCAGCTTGCTCCTTCGGCAGCTTCTTGAAACCTTGGGCCTTCTCCACGCCGTCAACCGTCATGGCGAGCAGGGCTCCCGTCCGAATGTGGTAGCCCAGGAAGTTCCCGGACTTCCTGTGCATCACCCGCTCGCCAAACTCTGCTTCCAGCTTCTTCCAGTCGCAGCCTGAGCGCCGCTGTTCTCCAGCGAGGCCGTCGGTTCCGCGTCGGTACCGGCCAATGCAGGCCGCGGCGCACTGGGGTAGCCACTTCAAGATCGGGGGTATAGATCACCGGGGGCCTTGGCTACCCTAGGCCCTACCCAAGGCCCTAGGCTTCCCAAGGGTGGGCCCTACCCAAGGCCCTAGGCTTCCCAAGGGTAGGCCCGACCCAGGGCCCTAGGCTTCCCAAGGGTAGGCCCTACCCAAGGCCCTAGGCTTCCCAAGGGTAGACCCTACCGAAGGCCCTAGGCTTCCCAAGGGTAGGCCCTACCCAAGGCCCTAGGCTTCCCAAGGGGTAGGCCGTACCCAAGGCCCTAGGCTTCCCAAGGGGTAGCCCTAGGGTAGCCCTAGGGGTGGGCCCCAGGGGTAGCCCCAGGGTAGCCCTAGGGGTAGGCCCTAGGGGTAACCCTTCATTGCGGATTACAATATGATTCCTTTGGTCGGGCGACCGCGGCCCCGGCGCCGCAGACCCCCCCCTCGCAGACCCCCCCTCTGGGATCCCCCCTCGCTGACCCCCCCTCGCAGACCCCCCGTCACAGACCCCCCCTCGCTGACCCCCCCTCACAGACCCCCCCTCGCAGACCCCCCCTCGCAGACCCCCCCTCGCAGACCCCCCCTCTGGGACCCCCCCTCGCTGACCCCCCCTCGCAGACCCCCCCATCACAGACCCCCCCTCTGGGACCCCCCCTCGCTGACCCCCCCATCGCTGACCCCCCCTCGCAGACCCCCCCTCGCAGACCCCCCCTCTGGGACCCCCCCTCGCTGACCCCCCCTCTGGGACCCCCCTCACAGACCCCCCCCTCGTGACCCCCCCTCGCGACCCCCCCCTCTGGGACCCCCTTCCTCGCTGACCCCCCCTCTGGGACCCCACCCCCCTCGCTGACCCCCACTTCCGCAGGGCCCCTCGCAGACCCCCCCTCGCAGACCCCCCCATCGCTGACCCCCCCTCGCAGACCCCCCCTCTGGGACCACCCCTCTGGGACCCCCCCTCTGGGACCCCCCTCACAGACCCCCCCTCGCTGACCCCCCCTCGCAGACCCCCCTCACAGACCCCCCCTCTGGGACCCCCCCTCGCAGACCCCCCCTCTGACCCCCCCCTCGCCCCCCCTCTGGGACCCCCCCCCCTTCACAGACCCCCCCTCGCTGACCCCCCCTCGCTGACCCCCCCTCTGACGGATTACCCCCCTCAGCGGTTATAACTTGATGCCTTTAGTCGGGCGGGCGGGCGGGACATTAAAGGCATTGATTGCTTGCTTGTGTGGTGGATTACCAATTGCTTCCCGTTGGTACCGGATTACTAGTAGATTCCACTTGTGGCGGATTACAAGCTGATTCCTTTTGTCGGGCGGGCGGGCGGGACATTAAAGGCATTGATTGCTTGTGTGGCGGATGGCAAACTGATTCTTATTGTGGCAGATTACACATTGATTCCTTTGGTCTGGCGGGCGGGCGGGACATTAAAGGCAATGATTGCTTGTTTGGTGAATTGCGAATGGATTCCCTTTGGCAGCGGATTTTCAACTTATTCCTGTGGTCGGGCGCCTTTTGCCGGGCGGGCGGGCGGGACATTGAAGGCAATAATTGCTTGTGTGGTGAATTACACATGGATTCCCTTTGGCAGCGGATTGCAAACTTATTCCTTTGGTCGGGCGGGCGGGCGGGACATTAAATGCATTGATTGCTTTCGTGGCGGATTACAAAGTGATTCCATTTGGCAGCGGATTGCAAGTTGATTACTATTATGGCGGATTACAAGCTGATTCCTTTTGTCGGGCGGGCGGGCGGGACATTAAAGGCATTGCTTGCTTGTGTGGCGGATTACACATACTGAAGGCCCTAGGCTTCCCAAGGATAGGCCCTACTGGACACCCTAGGGTAGCCCTAGGGTACCCCTAGGGGTAGGCCCCAGAGGTAGCCCTAGGGTAGCCCTAGGGGTAGGCCCTAGGGTAGCCCTAGGGTAGCCCTAGGGGTAGGCCCTAGGGGTAGCCCTAGGGTAGCCCTAGGGGTAGGCCCTAGGGGTAGCCCCAGGGTAGCCCTAGGGGTAGGCCCTAGGGTAGCCCTAGGGTAGCCCTAGGGGTAGGCCCTAGGGGTAGCCCTAGGGTCGCCCTAGGGGTAGGCCTAGGGGTAGCCCTAGGGTAGCCCTTCCTTGGGTGATCTATAAGCTCCAAGAGGCCCCCAGGCAGCTCCCAGGAGGCCCCAAGAGCGCCCCAAGTGGCTCCAAAGAGGCCTCCTTTTCCTTCTCCTTCTCCTCTCCTCCTCCTTTTTCGCCTCCTCCCCTCCTCCCTCCTCTCCTCCTCCTCTCCTCCTCCTCCTCCTCCTCCTCCTCCCTCCCCCACGTGTTCCCCGAAGGGTCTCCACAACGGCTGGGGCAACGCAGGGTCCAGCATCGTGCCCAAACTTTGCCAAAACGTTTGGCCATATAGGCGTATCTGAGAAGGCAGGGGGGGGCGGTGATTCGCCCCAGGCGTCCTCGATTGGCCGCCCCCTGTCGATGGATTTTTGGTGCTGTTTTGGGACTCCCCCTGGGGCTTCGGTCCATTGCGCCGGCCACCTGGGAGGCTCGACCAGACCCGGCTGTAAAAGGCTGTCCTGCCCCAGAGGGCTCCAAGGTGGCCCAAGATTACCTCCAAAGACGCCAAGGGGGCCTCCGATTTCGCCAACGATGGTCCGAGATGGCCTCCAAGACGGCCTCCAAGACGGCCCCAGAGGCCCCAAAGAGGCCTCCAAGACCGCTCAAGAGGCCTCCAAGACCGCCCAAGAGGCCTCAAGAGGTCCCCCAGGAGGGCACGCAGTGGCCGACATCATCGATCTTCCATGCGTTTTTTTTTACAGATTCTGGCACTTGCTCGTTTTAGTTCTCCTGGCGGCCCAAGACGGCCCAAGAGGCCTCCAAGATCGCCCCTAGAGCGCCCAAGAGGCCTCCAAGATGACCCCAGGACGGCCGAAGAGGCCCCCTGGACGGCTCAGAGGAGGGCCCAAGACGGCCCAAGAGGCCTCCATGACGCCCACTATGGCCTCCAAGACGGCTCCGAAGCGCCCCGAGAGGGCCCCAAGACGGTCCACAGCGGCCCCCAGCATGGCTCACGACGGCGTCGGACGGCCCAGAAACGCCCTATGAGACTGCCAAGGAGGCCCCAAACAAGCCCTCGAAGGCCCCCAAAAGGCCGAAGGAGACCCTCAGGAGACCTCCAAGAGGCTCCCAGGAAGCTCCCAGGAGAGCCCAAGAGTGCCCCAAAATGCTCCCAGGAAGTCTACTCCTTATCCTTCTCTTCCTCCTACTCCTCCTCGTCCTCCTTATCCTTCTCCCCCTCCTCCTCCTACTTCCTTTTCCTTCTTGTCCTCATTCTCCTCTTCCTCACGTGTTCCCCGAAGGGTTTCAACGACGGCTGGGGGAACACATGGTCCGATAGCAAGCTCTAGCCAAACTTTCGGCCACACAGGCGCTTGCAAAGAGGCAGGGGGCGGAGGTGATTCGCCGTAGGCGCCTTCAAGAACTTCCACGACCACCGCAAATTCAGACTCCTTCTGTTGGACGGCGGCCACGCCTGGGAGGACGGGGAGGAGGAGGAGGAGGAGGAGGAGGAGGAGGAGGAGGAGGAGGAGGAGGAGGGGGAGGAGGGGGAGACCACTTTCTCTGACACCTCCTTGGGCCAAGAACAAAATTATCCCAGTGCGACCCTACCTAGGAGTTGGAACCCCTAGGAAAGCAGCATTAGTAGTAACAGTAACGCTAAGCTAAAGCTGAGCTAAAGCTAAGCTAAAGCTCAGCTAAAGCTAAGACACAGCTAAGCTAAAACTAAGCTAAAGCTAAGCTAAAGCTAAGCTAAAGCTAAGCTAAAGCTGAGCAACAGCTAAGCTAAAGCTAAGCTACAGCGAAGCAAAAGCTAAGCAAAAGCTAAGCTAAAGCTAAGCGAAACGCTAAGCTAAAGCTAAGATACAGCTAAGCTACAGCTAAGCTACAGCTAAGCTCAAGCTAAGCTAAAGCTACGGCAGGCTCGTGTCGTGCCGACCCCAGCGTTGGTTTTTGACACCGCAGGGATCGTTCAACCTTGAACGATCGGCCGCTGCCGCAACGTCCGATCGTTCAACATCGATCGATTCTGGGTCGCCGGCGGCGTTCAACCTTGAACGTCCGCGCTGGGGTCGCCGCTGGTCGACACTTCGCAAACCTACCGTAAGCTAAAGCTAAGCTAAAGTTAAGCTAAACGCTAAGCGAAAAGCTAAGCGAAACGCTAAGCTAAAGCTAAGCTACAGCTAAGCTAAAGCTAAGCTAAAGTTAAGCTAAAGCTAAAGCTAAAGCTAAAGCTCCCAAGGGACTGGGGGGAACCGCTCCCAGGGGACTGGGGGAACCGCCCGGGGCGCTTTGCACTGCCCGGCCCCTTTAAGCTAAGAGAGTAAGAACCCTTCTAGGCAGAGCCTAGGTAGGGGAAAAACGCCCGTGTGAGCGGTCCGGCGTGCGCCCGGACGGCCGCCCTCCCCTCCGCAAGCCCGTCTCCATGCGTCTCCGCGGCATGCGATGCTGCGAGGGCGATGCTCTCTGGCTGCACCTGTGGAGAAGTCCACGGGCGCCAGCTGGGGGTCGTCACGCCTGTGAGACGAGCGCGTTCCACTACTCGCAAAGTGACTACTCGCAAGTGGCCCGGATCCGCCGCGGGGGGTCCTACGACAAAGTCCATCGAAGCGGACGTCCGTGTTTCGGACGTTTGCGAGCAGGCACTTTGCGAGTAGTGGAACGCGCTCGGTGAGCCAGTGGAGGAGTCCACGGGCGCCAGCTGGGGGTCGTCACACCTATGGGGGGGGGAAGAAGACTGGAGCTCTCGCTGGGACGGGAGCCCCCTGGGCGAGGACGGGGGGGGGGGCACCTCTTTTGCTACTCCTCGGCAGCGGGGGAGGGCTTCGGGACACCTTTCCCTCGGGACCCCCTTGCCCTCGTGGCGATCACGAGGGACCCCGATCACCCGCGCGTGGCCGGCGCCCTCCCGTCGCCAGCCGATCGGCCGGGGAGCCTCGTCCTCCATCGCCAGCAGCTGCGCCCGCACGCTGGCCAGCTGCGCCTCCAGCTTCGCCGCCTCTCGCCGCGGCGGGCGCGCGCAGCAACCCGGGCGACGGGCCGAGAGGTCCACCTCTGCGGCCCTGGCGCTGCCTTGTTGTTCGCGGCGGGCATTCGCGCCCGTTGTCGGGCCCCTGGGGCCTCCGAAGATCGATCCCGATCGACAAATGGACAGACAGATGGGGGTCTAGGGCTCCCGTCGTGAGTTTTCGCAGTGTTGCATTTTTGCCAGCGTCGGATCTCGGTGCTCACAAGGAGATATTCACCTGTCCCACGAGTCCCAGAAGTCGCACAGGTCCCAGCATCCAAGGTCTCAGAGGTCCCACAGGCCACGCGGGTCCCACAGGCGCATTTGCTGCTATCAGGGCGCTCTGCTCAAGTAAATTCTTTGCAAACCTACCAGCAGGGTGTCACAGCAGACCTACGTAGAACTCCCAAACAAACCCTATCGTGGCATGCGCGATCTGGAAACAAGCATCGCAGAACGGCAGGATCAGTCGAGTCGGGACCAAAACGAAGCCAGGATCTGCCTGGAGAGCACCAGACCAGCACAAATCGGGGATCTCTGAGGTCTGGCGGTTCTGGATGATGCCTCGGGTGCCGCGGCCGTTCCAAAACGCTCCGAGAGCGTTCTGGAACGCGCTGTAACGATTTATCTTGGTCCAAGCCCCGCCCGAGGGACGCTGGATCCGAACGGAACATGCGACGGACCAAGTTTCATCGGCACAGAATCAAAATCGGGTTGGCCAGGCTGCGCCGGGATACACAGCAACAGCACAGCGCAGGAAAATGCATCGGGCCGTATCGGGCATCGCTGCAGCGATGCCCGATGCGGCCCGAAGCATTAAGAACACGTATCTTAAACTTAACAAAGAGTTGAAAGCACTTGTATACATCTTACCGAAAAGTTGAGGAAACAGCTCCAAACACGTATGCACAGTTGTGCGAGTCCAACGTAACGTGTTTATGGAATTTGCAGTAAGTCATTACACATCGTACAACTACTTATAAGGCCCCGCAACCGAAAAAAGACATGGTAGTGGAGCATCAGGATCCAATCGGACCGACCCAAATATTCGATGAATTGATTTTCCGATCCGCGGTCCCCAAACAGGTCTCGACCACTTCCCCAAGGGCAGCCTTTTCGTTCTGGAGCCAGCTTTCGTGGACCTGGGGCCCGGATGTGGCCCCAGGAGGCCGACATCGATGAGAAACGCCAGGATCGAGAAAGAAACTAAACGCCCGAAGTCTGGAATCGGTGCCGAATCGGATCGACCATGGGTCCCGCACGGCAGCACAGGTTTCCGGCGTCGTTCCCCCGCCTCTCTCGCACGAGAGCTTCATGCGGCGACGGCGCGAGCGGACTGCGGAGGGAGGGCTGCCGCGAGCTGCCCCGATCGGGTGCGCGAGGCCGTGTGCGTGCGCGGGAGCAAGAGTTCCCCGCGACCCTGGCGCTGCAATTCTTATGCGCAGCGCGCCTCGTCCCGACTCGCCGGGCCGCCGGGAGCGGTGCCGAATCGGAGCATGGGCCCTGCTTGGTAGCGAAGCAATGGGGGGCGATCAATGGGGGGGAAGGAACTCCCCCTTGGGGCCCTGAGGGCCCCCTTCCGGGCTCTCAAGAGGAGGAGGAGGAGGAGGAGGAGGAGGAGGAGGAGGAGGAGGAGGAGGAGGAGTCCCTTCAAGGGCCCTAAATGCCCCTTTTCGGCATCTCTCGCTGCTCCCCCGTTCATCGCTCCCCTGTTACGCGGCCTCCAAGCTTCGCCTCGACTTGCCGAGCTGGCGGGGTTCGGTGCCGAATCGGATCGACCATGGGCCCTGCTCGGGCGCGAATTAATGTGGGGCGATAAATGGGGCGGAGAGAAAGGTGTTTTTTTCGGGCCCTACAGGCTGCCTTCTGTCGCTGCCCCCCCCCCTGTAATATAGCCCCCCTCTTACGCGTCCTCCGACCTGCACGGCAGCACAAGCTCCCGGCTTCGTTCCCCTGCCTCTCTCTCCCTCTCTCTCTCTCTCGCACGAGAGCTCTCCGCGCGGCGACGGCGCGGGCGACCGGCGCATCCGCGTGGATCGCCCTCAACGGGGCTGCGGGGAGGGAGGGTTGCCGCGAGCTGCCCCGATCGGGTGCGCGAGGCCGTGTCCGTACGCGGGAGCAGGAGCTTCCGTGCATTGGGTCGGCGGCGAGCGAGGGGGGGAAGTGAGAAGAGGCGGGCCTTCTCAGAAGGCTCGGGAGTCCCCCGGCCTTCTGAGAAGTTTTCTGGGCCTTCCTCTAAGACACAAAAAACCTCCGAGAAGGCGCGCGGCGCGAGGGCTTCTGAGAACTCCCGCCGCCTTCTGAGAAGGCCTTCTCCTCCTCACTTCCCCCGCTCGCCGCCGACTGGGGCAGCGCTCAGACATGCAAGGGACGTTTCTCGTCGGTTTCGGCCTTTGGAAGCCCTCGCCGGGCCGGCCGGGAATCCTGGGGACCCCGTTAAGGTCAGGACATCTGATGTCTGGGGAGGTTCCGTGCGCGAGGCCGCGTGTGTGTGTGTGTGTGTGTGTGTGTATGTCTGTGTGCGCGGGGACAGGAGGTCCCTGCGATCCGGGCGTTGCAGTCTTCTGTGCACTGGGCGTTTTTGCCCAGTTGCGGGCCCCGGGACCGTCACCGATCGATCCAGCTAAAAGAATTGGACAGGAAGATGGGGTCTATAGGTCTGTAGGGCTCTGGTCGTGATTTGTTCGCGATCTTGCGACGTGTTCGCAACGTCGGATGTTAAGGGCTCGATGCCCTCTGGCAGCCCTCCGGAGTGTCCCCGATCACGTGCAGCCTGCACTGGGGCAGTGCACTCTGTACCGAGGGTGCAGCCGCGCGAGCCGCGCAGTCCGCATGCGAGCGGGCCTGAGGCAGCCACCCTGGATCGGCGCTGGACCCTGTCCAAAAGAGGCTGGTTAGCCTCATCATTGGCATACTAGATTGATGCACCTACAGATCCAAGAGAGGCTTCACGGCCTCGGCATTGACTTCAATGCATGCGTCACATGCTGCTTTCCCGCTCTCTAGCGCTGGGAGCGCGCCAGGGGCGGCTCTGGATGCGCCACCAGGGGGGCCCACCGCCGATACAAGAACTCCGCTCCGAGCTCGGAGGAATTGAGCCCACCTATGCCACTTCTTGTTCGTCGACCGTCGAACCCTGGAGACTCGCGTCACGAGAGTTCCGGGTGCAGATCTGGGTGCGGGGGGGGGTGCACGGAAGGAGGATGAGCGGGCTTCCGAGGGCTGCGGCGGAGAGGCGGGACTGTAGTGCGGTGCGGTGCTGCACGTGCGGAGTGGAAAAATCAGGACGGAGGGCGCGCGGGACTGCCGAGGGAGGAAGAGTGAGGCTCGCTGGTTTCGGCGAAGGTGGGGCGTTGGCGCGTTGCGGTGCCGCGGATGGCTGCAAGAAACTTCGCTGCGAATGACACGCTGCAGCCATTTACGTTCGTCTTGCACTTGAAGCTGGGCCGCAAGCATCTGCTTGTCGAGCCCGCATAGCCGGCGGTGCGCGCGATTATGGAGGTAGCTTAGCAACTGAATACGCGGAGCGTGATGATGAGGACGAGGCGGGAGGGGGGAAACCCGACCTCCGAAGCCTCCACCCCCGACTTCGAAAAGCAAGAACTGGGTCCCCGATCCGTCTCTACCTCAACCCGACACTTGACGACTGGGCCTTCCCCTATCCCTTTCTAGCGAATATAACTCATCCTCGTCAGACCACCAGACGCGTTGGCAGGGCGGGCCAAGCGTTTCGCCCGAGACTTCCTCACAACGTATGCGCCTGAAGCTTGAGATGTTCAGCCTTTACGAGGATGGAGGACGTGTGGATTTAAACGTGGGGCTCTCGCCGCAGCGCCGCGCACATTCGCCCAACAAATGCAATAACAACCAGGATCGATGGCAAACGGTGTTCAACATGTGAAGCTTTCGCCGCAACTAGAAGCGCGCACATTTGTCTTCACATCTTGCACCAGTTACGATGAGGGAGAGCGGTTCCTTTCCAAAATGGGGCGTTCGCCTTAGCGCAGCGCGCATTCGTCTTGACAGCTCGAGGCGGATCCCCTGACAACATGTTGTTACTTGCCGTGGCGCCGCGCGGATTCGTCTTGACCGCTCGCAGCAATTTCAAGGATGGAAGGCGGATTCATGTCAAAATCGGGCTGTCGCCTAAGCGCAGCGCGCATTCGTCGTTAACGCTGGCAACATTTACAAGGATGGTACACCTTTCAAAATGGGGCTCTCGCTCGAAGCTGCCTCGAATGACATAACCACACATGCAAACTCTTTCAAACATTGCAGGAATGGAGCCGCCATCTTTCCATCACGGGAGTCTTGCTGGACATTTCGTTGAACTGTGGCCATGCGTCCTTGAATTCCAGATTTCTCTCTAGAAGGATGAACGGCAGATCCTTTACCAAACAGGTGTCTTGCCTGAATGGCAGGACCAAAATATGATGGTCTTTCAAGGGGGCGCACGCTATTATATATATATATATATATATATAACCAGAAAACGGCGTGCGGGGACTCCCGAGGAGGGGATTTGTGTCTGGAGGAAGTGTTGCAGCATTCGTTGATGCATCCTGGTTTACCCTCGTCCTCCTCATCATCCCTCCTTCCGACCCCCTCCCTCTCCCCCCCTCGGTTCCCCACCTCCGCCTTCCACCCTCCTCCCACCTCCTCCCACCCTCCTCCCCCTGCCCCCCCCCCGGTACCCCCCCAGCTGCCGCACCGCGCACATCCGACCCTCCCAGCACACGGAAGATGAGGCCCAGAGGCGCCGCGGGCGGGCCGATCGCTGCCAGCTGCCCGCGAGAGCGCGGGGCAGAGCGAGGCCCCAGGGCTCTTTTCTCGAGACGCCCCCTGCGCGTCGAAACGGACGCCGCACAGCCCGCGGTCGAAGACAGAGAGACGCCGCACGCTGGCGCCCTCGGAGCCCGCTCGCGGAGGCCGCCCGAGCGGGGCCACGAGCGGAGCGGAGGGGGGGGGCCCCACAGGGGTCCCGCCGCGCT